CTTTACCGCGGCAGTCTCCGAGAGTGCCACATGTATTTTTTTTTCAGACGTCTTCAATGGTTGCAACTGATCCGGCGAGATGATTTGGAAAACAAACCTAACTTTAGTTCCTACCAAGTTTGTGAAAAAGATTTTAATTTGGAGGATGTATTACATTAATCAAATAGAAAACTTTTAAAAAAGAATGCCCTACCATTGTTGATGCTGCCAAGCTTAGCTAGTACTGATCCAGGAGTCTCTCTAAAAGAAGATAAACAAACCCAAACTGCTCCGTTGGTAGGAAATGAAAATAGTACACAGACTGAAAATGCAACAAATGAAATCTTTGCTCAAACCTCAACGAGTCTCTCTAGCAACACTCCAAGAAAAAGAAAATTAAAACTTGAACTCCTCCAATGCAGAAAGAAAATAAAATAATTAAATCTACCAATCAAAAAACAACACGCATTTTTATTGAACACTTCCTATTCAATATACAAAGTATTTCATTTATTTATATAAAAAGGTATAAATATCCTTTTTATATAAATAAATGAAATACTTTGTATATTGAATAGGAAGTGTTCAATAAAAAATCTAAATAGAAACAGAAAGTAGGTAAATATAATTAAAATGCTGGAGACGGGCAGCCCTAACGCATGTTTACGTACCGCGCGGCTGTAGGCATTTATTTCTATCATGCGCCCGAGTTACACTACTGTATTATAATTGTACCGTGATATTGGCCTCTTTAAACATTGTAGTCTTATTTTAAAAGAAAACTTTTTAATATCAAATTAGTCAAACAACGCGAACGATGAATGATGATTAGAAATGATTAGATATAATTCAAGTGTTCTCATTTAAGAGATACATTTATCTAGTTCTCATAGTGATGTAGATACTGTTTTATACTGACATACTCTCTACACACGCAAAATTACACTGAACCAACCCGGGGAGTTTACACTGATAAGTGTGGTACGCACACACACACACACACACACACACACACACACAAACACGCGCGCACACACGCGCGCGCGAAAACCATAAAGGAGACTAGTAGTTTACTGAGTTACAACACGCAAAAAGAATCATTAATGAATGATTATAATAGCCCATCCAAAATTTAGATTAAGAAAAATGTGTTGGATCAACAAAAACACCTTTTACTGCCTGTACTGCGTGAAATTCTAAAACAAAATACCTAATAATGTTTTCCAACTAAACGAGAAGAAATTTCAAACTTATTTAAAGTGCGAGAGACTTAGACCAGTATATTAATGCGACAATCTATTTTCGATCTCATGCATATTGGTTTAAAACTCATTATTCGGTGTCACCCTGCATTATTATTATTAAAACGTAACCCGGTATTGCGCGGTTAAATGACTTTTCTGGAATGTCGGTGATGTTTCGTGACGTTATAAATTAGACGATTATTGTTTTGCTGTTAGCCTTGAGATAATGCTGGTCATACTCCAAAGCTTCACTGTAAAGAAGTCTTCGTGCGATAAAAATCAATTTATTCATTATTTCATTATTAGAATTACAATTCATTTTCACAAAATTGACTTCCTTCCGTATACTGTTGATATTAGTGTATTTTGTTTTTTGTTAATTAGATTTTTTTTAATTTTACATGTGTGTCATTTATTAAATCCATGTAGTATGTTGCCTGAGAAGTATATCATGTTTGCCTAGTAGTAGGTATATTTGATTTGATCGGGAGAGTGCCAATCCCGAGCGTAAAGGACGTCGGCGGCGATACCAGCCGTTGATGAGGCCGCAGGCTGCCAGAGGTAGGGGACCTCTTGTGGCACTTTAACTGTTGGGGCAGGCGATAGGATGGCAGCCTGGTCGCAAAAATGCGATCGGGCCCCAACATATTATAACGATTGGGCCGATGGGCGGGGGAATCCCACAGCTTCCCCGGGATAGGGCTTTAAAATGGATGTATGGAAGTTTGTCATTCTCAAAGTTAGAAATACTAAATAATAGAATAGGTAGGTAGGAATAGGTAGTCTGACATTTTAAACTGTCAATAATTAAAAATAGTTAAATTTGATTTAATTAAAATCTATGATTTTTAATAAAATAGATTTCTTTACAAATACTTTATAAATTGCACAGTTCACCTTTACGGAGATCACCTTTACTGAGACGGATATTATAGTTGTAGACAGCGACGACCATCCCCGCGTCTACGCATCTCTCTAGAGGTCCCATAGCGGTGACACCGAGAGTGACCGACTGATGGACCACGTCCAAATGGCTACAGATTTCGTGCTGCAGCAGATCCCATCCGCGGAGATCGTGATACTTGGCGACGCAAGACTGATCACGCGGGGAGATCTGATTTCGCCCTGACCTATGGCTTGTCACAACTGGTATCAACGCCCAAGCAAGTTCCAGATGTGGAAAGTCATGAGCCTTCACTGTTGGATCTTCTGCTCACGGATGGTTACAAAATCGCCGTTGGAGCCCCACTTGGCTCATCGGATCATTGTTGCAGTTGCAGGCTGCCTTCTCGGTTTTCATATTCGGTTTTGAGCTTCCGCAGCAAGTTATTGCAAAAGTTTCTGTATCGTGAATTAATTAAACGTAAAATCTGATTATTGAGAACCTTACGGGTGCGTAAATGAAGTTGGTCACGATGTGCATGCAGCGAAATAATCCTGGAGTAATCAACGGCTTAATATTGACTTTCGAGTGGCTTATTTTGGTTGCCCTTGAGTGCATGTATATAATTTCTACAAGCCGGTTGCCATCCCGAGCATTACTAAATAGTGGTCGGTTACATCGGAACAGCATACTACGCCTGTAGCGCCGGAGTGGTATTCACAGAAATATGGTCCAGACATCTATTACCTCTTGTCGGATTCGTTATAGCAGGGAAGAGTCCCTGTTCCGAAGTGAGACATTGATACTATGGATCTTGAGTACTTGTCGATAGGAGCAAGTCTATATTGTTATCGCCTAGCAAAATCAACCTGGTGTTCCTGTTTTAAATACTCTTAAAGACTTGATCCAGAGAAATAAAGTAGTTGCTGAAATGTAAGAATGACGGGGCCGGTATACAACAAGGATTGTAATTCCTTTATCTAATATCAGTTTCAACCCAACGATTACGTGACACGGCGGAGGTGCCCGCGCTTGCTTGCGGTGCCGCCCGCGCGCACCAATCTGCTTTTTTCGTGTTCGCTCAATGAGTTCACAAAGTCAAAAAATTGCGTACTGAGTAGTTCTAGTTCTTAATTATTATTATTTTTTACGTATTTTTTCATAGATTTGTTTGTTTTTTTTTGTAAGTGTACAGCTAGACCAATACAATAATGCAATTATTGTATTGGTCTAGCTGTAATAATAATGTATAGTATGGTATAAATAAATAAATAAATTTGCATCCTGCGGTTCCGGTTCTGAGACACACACGCTAAGGGTTTCCTTTACATACACTATTAAACCCGAATTTTAGTTAATTTTTTTCTTTGTAAAATAGTAAGTGTACGATGGTAACTGAGGGATAACAGTGTTTTCATCTAGCCAACATTCCGTGAAAACAATTACAACAAAAGAAGTCTTCATTCTAGGCAACGTCACAATGAAACTGACATTTACTTTAAAATTATGATTTAAGGCGATTGCTGTATGTCATTTTTCAGGCATACTAATTAAATGACAGTTTATACCGATCCGACCGACGGAGTCTAGTTCAGCTACTGTATAATTATAAGTATTAATAATATAATTATAATTATTGGTCATGATTCATGTTGTTGTAAGATACTTGATTTTTAAATGCATTTACGATTAGATTAATAAAACTGTCATTTGGCGCATTGTTACATATATGTGGTTGGATTCTAAACAAAATCTTAAATTTTATTTTTATAGTTACGCGGTAATAACTTGTGTCTTGTGTCTGTAATTGAAACTTCCTTAGCGGAGGTTTCAGATTGGGGAAGACTAAATGTAGTCTAGTTCAACACAAAAAAAGACACAGGTCTGTGCGTTTACCGCAAAGAAGATAACATTTATCGTATCAGCTCGGTTTGAGAGCACCTGCCTAACTTCTCATCCAGGCATCGACATAACGAGCAAAGTCCAGTTTCGGGGTCACTTAGAGGGTGAGCTCAAATTGGCCTCGAAGAAGTTCGGTGTACTGAACAGATCGAGGCAGTATTTCACTCCGGCCCACCGCCTTTAGCTCTATAAGGCGCAAGTCCGGTCGCATATGGAATACTGTGTTCTTATCTCTATGCAGGGGCACCTCAGTACCAGCTTCTTCCTCTGGACCTCATCCAACGAAGAGGAATCGTCGATAGCAAAAACATCTCTGATCGACTCGATCCCTTGGTGTTACGTAAAGATGTGGCTTCACTCTGCATTCTCTATCGCCTATATCATGGAGAGTACTCAAAACTTTTCATCGCAGGTTATAACCTGCGATGAAAGGTGGATCTGTACGCCAACCAATTCAGTAATTACGACTGGTTAATCGCTCCTCCCCGTTTCTTCTTCACGACAACGCACAAGCTCGCTCTCTTCAGGACAAACCATCACAAAGCTATAAGAGTTACAGCTGGGAGCTCTCGGCTAGCCATCGCACTCACCGGACCTTGCCCTTAACAGATTTCTACCTTTTTTTTTTTATTTAGACAATATTTTTAAGGGGGAAAATTCAACACCTGAGAGGCAGTACAAAACGCTTTCGCTGACTTCATCGTCGCCCGTGCAGCAGACTACTAGAGTAAAGAGATAAACAAACTGCCATCAAAATCGCAAAATTGTATAGATAATTTTGCCAATACTTTAATTATCTAAAATAAATAAAAAATAAACCCAAATTTTGATTTTAAAATTTTCATACAAATCTTCAACTTCATAACCTTTACCTAGACACATCTAGGTAAAGGTTAGGTTTTACCACGCTAATTTTTCGTATTATTGTTAAGATTTCGTAGTATTGCTAAGATTTCGTACACATATTTAAGTGATTTTTTTTTTATTTACAGAGGGAATGGGTATGTGATCGTGCTAATTATGTTCCGATAGCTCAGTCACTATTCTTTACTGGCTCAGTCGCAGGAGGTTTTTTGTTCGGATGGATAGCTGACCGCTTTGGCCGAGTTCCTGCTTTGGTAGGTATGTTACCGATCCCGAGCGAACAAGACGTCGACGGCTCATACTGCCACTGGGACCGCGGGCCGGCAGAGTGGGGACCTCTGGTGGCAGATTAACTGCTGCGTTAGGGGATTGAGATGGCGGCCTAATCGCGCGCAAAAAATGTGATCGGGCGGCAACATTCAGTGATAGGATGATAGGCAGGGCGAGGCCTCTGGCTTCCCCTGGGATAGACCCATCTGGGGAAGACCTGAAATAAAATGGTCCGGGTCAGTAGAGCGCCTAAGGCTGGCCGTCGGGGTGGTTTTTAGTGGAAACACCTTATACTCCTGTATCTCCAAGGAGCCGGATTTTCCACTCCGTCACCAAAAAAAAAAGATGTTTTACAAATAACTTCGTGAGATCTTCATCTTTCATACTTTGTTATTTATCATCTCACAATATATATTGAGAACAATACAATTTTATGACGCTAATAGGTCAATTGAAGATTACGTGGATTGAGCCGATTTATATATATTTTTTTAATGATACTTGTAATATTTAATCGTTTTATCGATTTAGATTTACCTAGATAGCCCTGCTCTATATTCATCAGGTATGAAAGATATTGTTTGCACATCTGAAAAGGGGGACATGGCAAAACTGTCATCCCCATCACTTGAATCATTGCCGATCCTCTGCTGTGAGCTTCTCAATAAACTTTCTGCCACGCACAACTAATTTGTAGAACAAATTGCCGCCTGCGGTACGACTTTCAAACCTTCAAGAAAAGAGCGTAATCCTTCCATAAAGTTTGCTTGTTACTCCTGAGTTGCGGACGTTATAAAAAACACATGATCGTACTCATTCCACAATCTTTGCACTGAATAGGAATCGAATCCACGACCTCTGGCTAGTATAGCCAACGGATATTCTAGTTATTTCGGAGGCTTTCAATCATTACTGGGTCGCAATTCGCATGTGTTGCCCCCATCTATCACGCGATGGACCCAGCATCCGCACGGTAAACTCATGGAACGTTAAGTATAGAATTTAAAAATAATTATAATAATATTGACACACAACGCAATCTAGTTTCAAACTAAGCAGATCTTGTACTCTAAAAACTAGATTGACTGATAGAATACATTTTATACTTTTTTTGTAAATACATACATACATATTATGCATAGAAAATACCCAAAACTGCGTAACAAATATTTGCAGATCATACAAACATTTGGGGCGACCCGGGAAACGAACCCGAGACCTCAGCACAACACTCGCTTACTCTACCACTGCACAACCTAGACAGAATTAATCTTCTGATGTAGCTTGAGTTATAAATACTTCTGCAGTATGTAAACAATAATAAATTTATTTATTTAAATTGTGTGCATGCAAATGTATCCAAGCGGCAATGGCGATGATGAGAATGATGAATGATGCGTTCATATATAGAAGCCATACTATGGCTATAACACAGTATATTTTATTATTATATGAGGGAAAACGCCGTTTTGTAAATACTTATATTTACGACCTCCTGTGGGCCACGGTCCGCCGATCGTCTCTTTTTGTTCAAGTGGCTTGACACTCATTCTTCCACAGTTTATATACACAAGGGTAATCTAATTAAATAATCATAATAAGTTCACACATCTCACACTGGCCGTCTGATTGCAAACTAGGCAGAGCCTGTGCTATAGGAACCAAACTTCTGATAATCATACTTATATCTATCTATATATAATACATTTAAACAAGCAATTCTTGAAATTTAGTATTCAGGGGGTTTCCATCCATGTACCATAAAAACAATGTGTAAAGGTATTCGTGCCCGTATCCCCAAATTCGAAAGTTTTTTTTTGGAATTACTCGAAAACGTTAGAAAAAAATAGTTCAAAGGAAAAAATGTGTAGAGCTTAAAATTTTACATAAAATAATTTGTCATTTTTTCCTCCTTTGAAAATTAACCGAAATAGGGAGGTTTTAAGTTTAACATCAACAGCCTATACTAGTCCACTGCTGGACATAGGCCTCTCCTTAGAAAGGAGGTTTTGGCCTACTATACCACGCTGGCCAGACGGGTTGGTATAGGGTTTGTTTTAAGTTTTCCTTCTCTTTGCAGTGCTGTTGTCCTGCTTAGTTTGGTGACGGATTAAGAATACAAATTTTCACCACCCCAATTCATAAGTTTAACGGATGAACGTAAATTTAAAAAAATCTTAGCTAGTAGAAAAATGATCGCAATTTCCTTTGTATTGCTTAAAAAAACTAATATTTAATTTATGAGATACAGATTTTTGGTTATGGTTAAAAAAAAATTACAATATGAAATTTTCAAATTGAAATTCGAGTGCTTAAAAGATTTTTTTTTAAATTTCCTGAATGGAAAAGAAACAAATAACTCAATGTTGAGGAATGACTAATATTTCAGTAGGAAGTATGATTATTGTATGTATTATTTAAAAACTCATGTCGATAAGCGTGCAGGTATTTGGTTATGGGCTATTTTCTGAGTTATCAGTTCATTTTAGGAAAAAGGTCTCTTGCCCAAATTGGTATGGGAATGCACTAGACTAAAAGACTCGTCACATACTTCATCAATAGTTGAAAATTATTAAGTTATTAAAGTTAATTAAATTATTAATTCGTAAGAGCCGACTAAGGGAGCAAACTACGCAGGACAACGCGTGGTATAGTAGGCCAAAACCTCCTTTCTAAGGAGAGGCCTATGTCCAGCAGTGGACTAGAAAAGGCTGTGGATGATGAATGATATAATTAAACAGCTGTGAGTGATCTGCGATGTGTATTTAAAATACAAACTTTAATTTCAGGAACTAACTTGGTAGGTGGTCTCGGCGGTATAGCGACTGTATTTACGACCGGCCTGTGGGACTTTATTCTCTGCAGATTTTTGGTGGGAATGTCCTTTGACAACTGCTTCATGATCGTCTACATTTTGGGTAAACTTTAAGACTATATTTCATTGACTAAATCGAGTTCAAGTTAGTTCGACATTAGTCAGAAGTTTGTTACATTATTTATTCAATATTAATCTTTCTCACAATTAGGTAAATTATTTTTACTAGTTATCGCAGTCTTTTTTGCTCGTAATTTATTAAACCTTTATTACAAACCCATGTACCCTTTTTTTCTTGTGCGGAAAGCCTCTCGGATATCACTTGTAGCCGCTTTTCTTCTCAGGCGGACTACTCACCGGCTGACCCAGTGGAGAGATCTATGAGATTACCTCAGGGCGCCTTCTAAGAGAAAAGAAGTGTGTGCGTGTGGGAAACCTACGGGACTCTTTAGAGGAAAACAACTTACACCTCAGTCATACATACATGTATATTTCAGAGAAAAAGTAGATTTACAATAAAAAAAAATCAGAGGGTATAAAAAAAAAAAAAACCGCAGCGGAGCGCGTCAGAGCCGAGCTGATGGTGCTCGGTGCCTCCTCGTCGTCCCTCCAGGAGGTTACTTCCTCTTCTGCCCGAGTCGGCTATTTATATTAGATACGGATAAAAGTTTAACAAATTACAATTATAAGTTTAAGTACGTAACTCTTGGGTACGGCTGTCCGCTTGCGTCGTGAGCCGCGCAATCACCAGCTTTGCCAGAGGGTACCGAGAAACTTGAGTCTGTACCAGAAGGCCACAAAAGAGCAAGCACGCCGTCTAAGACTGACTGTCTTGACCCCGAAATCTGGGACCCTACGAATGGATTAGCACTCATATAATTAAACAGGTTCCAGAAACAAATAGGTTTAAGAAGAATTGAGAGAATACTCACCACATTAGTGGGTAGATTATAACAGACTACATATTACGAAATTCAAATTACACGACAATCAAAACACTATTTAAGGTTGGAAGACACGAGATAGCAGAGTGTCTCCCGTGGCAGAAAGCCCAACCTATATATCCTCGGTTCAGGAATCTTCCAGAAGTTAACCCCTCCTCATCATTTCACTTTGACATTTACATTGAGAAAGAAAACAACGCTAACAAAATTAAAAGTAACTTGCTTTCCACCATAGCTGAACACTCTCAACACCTATACAATTTAACTTGACAGAATAACAAAACAGATTAAAAAAAGAAGTCTTTTTATCAATCTATTATGTCTCAAACCAACGCCATCTAGTGGTCCGAAAGTGAACAAAGGAGATCAATACCGTAGCTACAAACTACTTTAGATAAATCAACAACAAAGCGATGCGGCCAACAGGTGTCGCTTTACTAATATACCAAAAAAATAACTGTTACACCACCCCCTCCCTCAAAGTATTCCCTGCGTAGTGTGCGCAGGGAATATCCTCAACAGGGCCAAAATCCATATAAGTGGTTTTACGAACCCCGTGGTTTAGGAAAACATTCTATACTATGACTCGCGACTACAAAGCCTGTGGTTATCCATATAGGACACCACATGACATAACCTGAAGCCATCCATATGGGACCCAAACACGACAGTAGGCCGGAAGCAATCCTCATAGGACACAAATAAGAAAAATTTTGACGTAGTCCGAGACCACAATTGAAAGAATATTTCCCATGTAGGAAATGTAGTGAATGGACCCCTCAGGTCACAAAGGGGTGTCCTGAGAAGGTCTAGTCAGTTATAACTACACCGGCTAACCTATCTAGAAGGTATCTAGCCCTAACTCTAATAAGACTATTTATAGTACGAAACGGAGTCACCTGAAGAAAAAACCTGTTCCAGTTCAAAGACCTTAAGCCCGCTGACAGACCATGTCAGAGGCGGCAAAGGCAGGAACAGCGGCGATGGCCTTAAAGCGGCCACGCCGGATAAGCCGCAAAGCAGTACGCATCTCACTTCGCAATCCGACAACCATATCCTCAGGATTCTCTGAAATCCCCATGGAAGACAGTTCATTAATAAGTTCATCAATTTTAAGGTAGTTAATGCACTTACATAAATGTGCCATGGTGGTTTACAATTCAAATTCGATTATATAAAAAATAATCTTAACAAGTTAACAAACCAGTAATGCAGACTTAATGTCTTTTACAGTTCAAAAAAACAAAAAAAAATGATATTGAGTAGACTTCTTCACTAATACCAGAGTGTGAGAAGTTTAAAGTAAATTAATATTTAAAAAATATTATAACAAAATATTAAAACATCAAGTAATATCTCAAAGTAAAAAAATATTGCTACTGAGTATATTTCTTCACCATTAAGTGTGAGAAAGCTAAAGCAAACTAATATTTTTAACAAATATTATAATAAAATATTAAAATATCAAGTAATATTTCAAAGTAGAAACTGAGTATACTTCTTCACTATTAAGTGTGAGAAGGTTAAAGCACACTAATATTTTTAACAAATATTATAATAAAATATTAAAATATCAAGTAATTTCTCAAAACTTGAGAAGCAAATTCAACTAAAGACCAAGATATTCTTGTTTCACAATTCAAGACACAAGTTATATTATCTTTAGAACATTAACACAGTAATCCAATGAATTGACAAAGTTTAATTATCATAAAAGTTATTTCAACATAAATTTTAAGTAGGGTATGTATATCACAAAACTATTTTATTCTAATTTTAAGCCAAGAGGTTATATAAAAAAAAAGGAGGGTACATAAAACTTTATAAGTTAAGTTAAGTTTCAAGTAAATTACACCAGTAGTACTGGGAAAAAAAACACACTGAATATACACGTATGCACAACTTCACGCTACGGACCTCAAAGGTACGAACAGAAGTAGCTAACTCAAAAAAAAAAAAAAAAAAGAAGAAAAAAAACTAGTTAGGCCAAAAAATGTTCCAAACTCACCCGAAATTTGTGCAGTAGGAATTTTGAGTTAAATTTGGAATTTAGGTGTCTCACTGATTTTCCTTGCCTCAGGGATGATGGTACGATAGGCTGAAAATACAATGAGAGTAAAATTATTACATGCGTACTGCACCCACACAACCAATTAACGTCCTGGGGAGTATCGGACGGAGGGAAGTGTCTCCTCCAAAGTGAATACCCTCAGGCACCCTCACACAGCACACACACAGAGGTTTGGATCACTGGCCAAACGTTGGTCGCCAATTTGTAGCCGCTTTTCTTCTCAGGCGGACTACTCACCGGCTGACCCAGTGGAGAGATCTATGAGATTACCTCAGGGCGCCTTCTAAGAGAAAAGAAGTGTGTGCGTGTGGGAAACCTACGGGACTCTTTAGAGGAAAACAACTTACACCTCAGTCATACATACATGTATATTTCAGAGAAAAAGTAGATTTACAATAAAAAAAAATCAGAGGGTATAAAAAAAAAAAAACCGCAGCGGAGCGCGTCAGAGCCGAGCTGATGGTGCTCGGTGCCTCCTCGTCGTCCCTCCAGGAGGTTACTTCCTCTTCTGCCCGAGTCGGCTATTTATATTAGATACGGATAAAAGTTTAACAAATTACAATTATAAGTTTAAGTACGTAACTCTTGGGTACGGCTGTCCGCTTGCGTCGTGAGCCGCGCAATCACCAGCTTTGCCAGAGGGTACCGAGAAACTTGAGTCTGTACCAGAAGGCCACAAAAGAGCAAGCACGCCGTCTAAGACTGACTGTCTTGACCCCGAAATCTGGGACCCTACGAATGGATTAGCACTCATATAATTAAACAGGTTCCAGAAACAAATAGGTTTAAGAAGAATTGAGAGAATACTCACCACATTAGTGGGTAGATTATAACAGACTACATATTACGAAATTCAAATTACACGACAATCAAAACACTATTTAAGGTTGGAAGACACGAGATAGCAGAGTGTCTCCCGTGGCAGAAAGCCCAACCTATATATCCTCGGTTCAGGAATCTTCCAGAAGTTAACCCCTCCTCATCATTTCACTTTGACATTTACATTGAGAAAGAAAACAACGCTAACAAAATTAAAAGTAACTTGCTTTCCACCATAGCTGAACACTCTCAACACCTATACAATTTAACTTGACAGAATAACAAAACAGATTAAAAAAAGAAGTCTTTTTATCAATCTATTATGTCTCAAACCAACGCCATCTAGTGGTCCGAAAGTGAACAAAGGAGATCAATACCGTAGCTACAAACTACTTTAGATAAATCAACAACAAAGCGATGCGGCCAACAGGTGTCGCTTTACTAATATACCAAAAAAATAACTGTTACACACTGGGTGATTATGTCGAACTCAAACCGACCAAAAACCGCACGCCGTCTCGGGTACCAGAAGCCGGGGAACAAGGTGTACCTTAGGAAGGAAATCCCTCAAACCCCGAAGGACCCCGGGCCATCCTGTAGATGACTCCCTCGTGTGTGAGAATCATTGTGTTCCCATTCTACAACTCAAAGAGCGCGCGTCTCGCGGCCACCCTGGCTTGCTTCTGCTAGTTAGCATTGCCCTGGATTGCCCAGGCCTGCGCTTATGGAGGACTTAGGTCGTTATCCGACCTCCGGTCGTCCTGAGTCCCTGGTCCTGAGTCGTCTGCGGTACCTGGCCAGATTCCGGGCCTAGCAGGCTTCGAGATTTCTAAACCTCTCCTGGTCCCGCTCCGCCATTTCCTTCGCAAGCATTTAAAAAAAGTTGAACCGACTTCAAACAATACTATGTTGTTTTGCTGTCATTGTTTGATGAGTTCCGTTGTCTGTCTTCGAAACTCATCATTATATTTAATTTGAAATTTAAATGGGACCATTTCGGATTAAACCCCTTTCAAATAAAAAAATAAATCTGAAAAACCGAACACACATAAAATAAACCCTTTTTAAAAAAAAAGTTGAACCGACTTCAAAAAACACCGACAAAGAGCACTAAAAATTAAAAAATAATTACAAATCTAAGTAAAAAACTATAATAAGTACCCTCAATGTAACAGGTAACATTATAATACCAATAGTCCCTTCTAGTCTGTTTGAAGTCGGTGCCAAGCCAAATAGGTGCTTGATAGGCATGGTAGAATGTAGCGCGGCAGCTGCAACAGTCTTCATGCTGCGCAAAACATGATGAACGAGCTAAAGTGGACGCACATCTCCAATTATATTATTATTTTGAATTCTTTAATAAGTAGTTGATAAGTTTGCGCACGTAATTGATCTGGTTGGTCTTTATTAATTAACAAAATCTTCGATGTTTCATTCGAATTATTTTGAATTCTTAATTTTTCATTGTGCTAATATAAAGCTGACATAGACCAGTATTACTTATTGTACATCGAGCTTGGCACCGACTTCAAACAGACTAGAAGGGACTATTGGTATTATAATGTTACCTGTTACATTGAGGGTACTTATTATAGTTTTTTACTTAGATTTGTAATTATTTTTTAATTTTTAGTGCTCTTTGTCGGTGTTTTTTGAAGTCGGTTCAACTTTTTTTTTAAAAAGGGTTTATTTTACCATTTTTAGTGTAGGATATGAAAATGACATTGGCGTCCAAACTGATCAAGATCAGCTTAAATTCTTTTCCAAGAAACAGTCAAATTCTTGTGAGTTGCAACCGAACAAAATAACTTCCGATTCAATTGACACTGATCTCGAAGGTGAAGATAGGGAAGCTTTAGTGAGACTACTCAACAAATATGCTCAATATTTTATAGAAGGAGTTCCAACTAGAAGGGTTAATACTAGTATGTTAGAAATTAACCTAGTTGACCCACCCAAAATTTAAGAGTTTTTTTTAGAACTATTTTAATAAATTAAGTATAGAATTACTTACAAACGAAATGCGATGCCATCCATAGCAACTAAACGTCTATCCGAATTATTTTAACAAGATAGAATACAAAATTTCAACCTTTTCTTCTTAATACAACGAAAATTACTGTGGTGACATAAATACTGCAAGTTCTCTGCGCATCACATCGCGCAGTCTCTAACAGTTGCCATGGTTTGTTTGGCTAAAGAAATACTCGTAGCTAAAACAGGTTGTCCGGGCTGTCAAATTCCCAATAATTGTGAGGGTTTCACTCGATTTCTCTAGGATCCCATTATCAGATCCTGAATTGGTGGTAATGGGACCAATTCGGGAGCATACCCTTTCGATTACAAAAAGAATTTTGAAAATCGGTCCACAATTGACGAAGAAATCGCGTAACAAACATACATAAAAAAAAAAAAAATACAGACGAATTGAGAACCTCCTCTTTTGTGTTTTGGAAGTCGGTTAAAAAGAAAACATACTGTCGAATCAAAAACCCTCCTTTTTTGATGTTGGTTAAAAATCGACTAGCATGAAGCTCCTAGTCGAGACGAATCAAATGAGCACAAACACGGCGGAATTGCTTTATTTTATTACAGAGTTCCCATGGCTATTTACCGTCTCCATCATCAGACCCTGAATATCACATAGGATCGGAGTCCTTATTAATTAGACTCAAACACATTCAAATTCGATGGTATTACATAATTTTGTTACAGAGATCCCATACTCCTAAACCATTCATCATCAGCTTCATCATCAGCTCAGCAACATCAGATGGTGACCATTAGATGCAAAAATCTACATAGATTAAGATAATTTCTGATAAACAGTGTATATGCCTACAAAATTTGAGGGTTTCCCTCGATTTCCCCAGGATCCCATCATCAGATCCTGACCTGGTGACAATGGGACCACCTCTGACGTATGACCTACCAAATAAAGAAAGAATTATTCAAATCGGTTGATAATTGCCGGAGTAATCACGTAACAAATATACAAAACAAAAAAAAAAAAAAAAATGCAGTCGAATTGAGAACCTCCTCCTTTTTTTGAAGTCGGTTAAAAATATAAACAACCGAATTGATGACCTATTTGAAGTCACTTAACAAATCAACTTAACACTTTTTTATATATTTAGACAATGCTTAGTGAATCAAAAGAAATAAACTCTTTCTCTTTTTAATTAATAATACTAAACATTGTCAAAGCTACAAGACAAAAGTAACTTTAGTAGTATAGTAGACTAACGTCGGTAGTGGGTGGACTTGGTGAGCATACTTTTGCTTTAAATTAAACAAATACTGCTATTAACACATAATCATTTGTGATTTCAGTTCTCGAATACATAGGACCTAAGTACCGAACGTTTGCCGCCAACTCAGCTTTCGGATTTTCTTTTGGAGGCGGCGCAATAGCATTGCCCTGGATTGCGTATTTTATTGCTGATTGGCGCATATTCATATGGGTTACTTCGTTGCCTATGTTCATTGCGCTACTGGCACCCTGGATACTACCTGAAAGCACCAGGTAAGCTTAATATGGTACCAACAAATTCGTAATTCTGGGGGGGTGTTTTGTGTCTGTAATATTTTTTGTCTGTGGTGTTTTTGTTTGTGTTTATGAAACCACCTTACAAGGAATATTTTTATTTTGTTTTAGAAACCTCTAGGTTTTTTATGACTGCTATCCGTTTTGATTTAATTTGTTTGAATAACTTTATTCCAAACACTAAATTACAACCGTTTTGAATATTTTTCCTGTGTGTGCTATAATGTATTATGCATAACATAACTTATGTGTCAGCATCGAGATTTACACCTTTCATAAAAGTGTTCATGTCTTTTAATCATGTACTCCACCTAGAACAAATCCTTAGTTTTACCTTGGGTCATATGGGACACCTCTCCTAGCATTCAATCAATAAATCAATTACCCTATTAAATTCCACTGCTGAACATGGGCCAAAATATCTATCGATAACCAATCGGCAACATTGTGATAACTTATGTTGAACAAAAGATTCAGTACGTATATGATAAGTACTTTGGTGTATGGTAGAATTACAAAATATTTCTTAGACAAACCCATTATTTAAGCACTTAATCATAATAACGGACCGTATAGCTCCGCTGAATTTATAGCCAAACGTTCAAATGAAAGAGTTTATTCCAAGGAGTGTTTTTATATCAAAATAAACAGTGTACCTCAATAGCACTATAACTGGGATTTGGAAAGACAGACTTAAAACATAGAAATGTGAAGGAGGGAATCAGCTTTGAATTTAATTCGAGAGGGGTTACAGACAATTTTAATAATCAGTGCACCAATACCTTTAATTAAAAATAAAATGGTTATACAGGATAGCCAGAGGGGCTTAAAATATATTTAATATTTCTTTTAAATATATAGATTACTAGTTGACCCGTACCATTTAGTCTGCTGAGGAATAAAATTTCCCGGTTTTTGCAACATTTTGTTTTGCTCCTGTCAGTGGTAGCACGTTGTTATATAACCCAATATCCGTACTCGATAAAAGTATAGTAGCACAAAGATAACACTACAATAAAGGAGTGCATAATAATAAAGCCTTTTATTTCCCAACCACAGTAAATATTACAATCCTTGTGCAACTTATTTTTAAACAATTAAAATCTATATTCATGTAATATTTTTTTTCTATTTGATTAAGAATCCCTCTCAGGAGTAGGCCTCTTCCAAGGATTCAGATTTTATTATCTTGGGCTATTCGTATCCACTGAGCTGCATGCAAGGAGAGCATAAACTATGCGTAAATGATCATATTAATGATTTTGACCAATTTTTACAAGCTACAATTTTGTCTAATTTACCTTTTTCAGGTGGTTGGTCAGCATTGGTCATGTCGACAAAGCTGTGGAAGTGTTGAGAAGTTTTGAGAAATTCAATAAATTGAAAATTCCCGATAATGTCATGGATGAATTTGTTGTAAGTTTTTGTAAAAATATTATAAATTCTTTGTAAAGTCAAGATTTCTTGAAAGTTTTCATGAATATAGAACTAAAAAAAGCATATAAGGAATTTTGAATTAACGATAAAAGGGTAGGACGTAGTGTAGGCCAGGTGAAGTAAAGATTTGCGCAAGATGGCTGGCAGGAGCTAGATGCGAGAAGCCTAAAATCGATCTAAGTAGCGTGTAATGGGAGAGGCTTATGTCCAGCAGTGGACTGCGATAGGCTGATGATGATGATGATAAAAGAGTTCAAAATTTTGAAAACAAACAAACGAACAAAAAGCGTTTGTGAAATATTGTCTAAATAATTACTATTTATTAATCTATATGGTCTAAATTTCAAAGGAATAGCCTCCAAGTTATCATAAAACAGATAATAGAAATAAACTTTTTTTAACAGGTATCCTCCAACAAAGCCAAACTGGAGAAGAAGCAGACTTTGATTACCCTTATGAAGAGCCCACGAATGTGTATGGCGTTCGTTGGGCTGGTGGTGGTGCACTTGGGATGTAACGTGGTGTTTGACGGCCTCGTGCGTCTATCTGACTCCTTCGGACTGGATTTCTTTCTCACATTCTGTTTGAATTCCGTGACAGAATTACCGGCAAATTTTATTCTCGCTGTTGTTCTCGATAGGTATGTATGAAACTTCAATACATTTAATGACCGGTTTCATTTCAATTTTTTACACTATGAGAATACCCGATAGGAACGAAGTTCCTTATACTATTTGACAATTATTTAATTTCTAAATTTTGGTCAAGGAATTTTCCTGAAAAATAATAATTGGCGCTTTAATTTTTTGTATATAAACAAAAAAATGTTGATTTACTAATGAACTACAGCTAGTTGTTTAAAAAAATGCAGCTATTTTATTTGTGAAAAAATGATTAACTATACATAAATGATTAACTATACGAATGATTGTAGAAATACAATACTGGTCTCATTTTATTCCTCATCCAATTTTCGAAAAATAAAAATGCGCAATGCATGTAGACGGATTACTTTCTCTTTCTCTCTCGCTCTGCAGGCAGTGAAAGCAGAGCGAGAGAGATAGCGACTAACGCTTTTTCTTATGAAATCCCTCTCGCCACATTGTCAGTCCCATAAGGAACTTCGTTCCAAAAACCCTTTTTAGTAATATTATGTTTTAAATATTTTAGTTGTAATATTTTGCATTTAACAATGTTTAAATATTCAAAATAATGTCTGATCACTTTTATACGTTAACACTTTTCGTTTTTTTCTCTGATAAAAATTATTGGTATCGGGTATAAATTGACATTTTTATTTTCAGGTTAGGCAGGAGGAATTTAACATGGGCTCCTCTGGTCTTGTCAGGGTTGTTTATAACCATCGCTATATTTGTAACTGATGGTATGTTTATTTTATTTTGCATTTTATGACAAGGTACTTTTTTTTTACGTGTGGAAACCCCCTCGGGCCGTCACCCCACCGGGGTTTGCGGCGGGGTGGTTTGTCGGAATCAGACCGACTAAAACCACACGGTGTGCCACTCTGCGCTTATAATAGGAGAGGTCCGGGAACTTATGACAAGGAACTGAACGGGCCTGTTGGTCTAGTGGTTAGTGACTCTGACTGCTAAGCCGGAGGTCGTATGTTCGATTCCAACCCAGGATAAATAATTGTGTACTGAGCATTTGTTTTGGGTCTGGGTGTAATTTATCTATTAAAATATGAATGTATTTAAAAATATTTAAAATATCAGCAGTCTGGCAGGGGCTCGTAGCTAAGTCGTTACCGAGTAGGTTAACACATTCCAAAGTTAATCAATCCTAGCCAGATCAGTCTATGGATAGTTGAACATTCTTAACACATTGAGACCCCCTCCGTCCCTCGGAGAGCACGCTACGCACGAACATCTGTTTCAATCAGAACGGGTAGTCGAAACATTAAGAAAAGTCAGAAAATAGTCTTTCTACAGAACTTCGATAGCGCCTAGTACTTGGGCTGTGGAGGTTTAATGGCAGTCGCTCCGTGTAGCTCAGCCGCATCGCTAGTAGACTTAAAGCCGACCTCAACCAAGATTGGGAAAAAGGCTCGGAGGAAATTTATCGGCAGTCTGGTTACCATAGCACAGGCTCCGACTAGTTTGGGATCAAACTGCAGTGTGTGAGATGTGTGAAGTTATTATATTATTAATGATTTATCTATAACTTAAATTCATTTTATTTATCTTCAGGTGCATCACAGGCGGGGTTAGCAATAGTAGCACGTTTCTTTATAAATATAAGTTACACTGTTACCATGCAATGGTGTGTGGAGATCCTACCGACTCCCTTCAGAGCGACAGGCTCAGGCGCTCTGCATTTAGTTGGCTACTTCGGCATTATAGTGACACCGTTTATTGTATATTCGGTATGATTCAAAATACTTTTAAACCGACTTTTTTTTTTAATTTATTTTAATAGACCGGAATTTTCGGCTGTTTGATTTAACAATTTGATAAAACTACATATTTTTATCAAATTGTTAATTTTGCTAATCATCACAAGGATCATTCAAAGCTGTTTGGGAGCTTTATTAAACGCTTTTATAGATTATTTGTATTTAACATTATTTAAATACCTTTTGTTCTAATTTATTTGTTTTTATTTTGTTGACATGGATTCTGCTTCAGTGCCTTATTCAATCATTCAACGACATTTCAAAGAAAGCTTTTGAAGAATCTAAGCTTTTTATTCATTAAGTTGCATCTTTAGTAGACTATAATTTTATTAAATTTAAAGTTATAGACATGTTTCACATACATTATGACTATGTATTATATCCAGGAGCGCTACTGGAGCTTGCTGCCGCTGGTAACTTTTGCCATAACAGCGTACGTATCAGGAGCTATCACTTTGGGATTGCCTGAAACAAAAGGCCAACCGATGCCGCAGACGATAGCCGATGGCGAGAAGATAATTAGGGAACAATCCTTATGTGGGTAAGTTCCTTTTTTATTACAATGCCTTTGGTGGTCTACTGCTACATTTGTAAGATATGTTCATCTATCTCGCAAAAGGAACAAAATTTCCATGTTTTTAAACATGTTTCATTGATGATGCTCTAATAACTCGTAGCGTGACATTGTATGGCCTTCCTCGATAATTAGGCTATCCAGCATTATGTTGCCAAGTGTAAATTTGTCAAAAACAAATATGTCATCACACGTTTTCCCTGCCATTTACCCAATTTGATTTGGGGTTGGCGCAATATAATGTGCCTTTCATAGCAGTTTCCTCTCTGACCCCGATAGAAGTTTTCAGAAGAGTAAAGGGATAGACGTAAATTAGGGTAGGGAAAATGGATAATGATATGGAAAATCTAATAATCTCTGATAGGGTAATAGGGCCCAGACGGCAGAATCTTAAAATATTTAAGATTCTGCAGAGTCGCATAGAACAGATATACATACTCTAAAACCCAATTTAAACACTCCCCCTCCTCCCTAAGAAAGGGGTATTTTTGGGCTCTACAAGCAACGAAAGAATTCCTTAAAATCGATTTAATTCTGTGAAGCCGTGGTGTCATTCTGGTCAAACTGGCCCGTTTCTTGTTGTCATGATGTGTAAGTTAATCTTTATGTGGATCTAATGTGACTTTTTATTTTCAGGAATATCAAGGATGTTGAGGAAAACAATAAAGAGTCATCAGTGGATCCAGGAAGTTATAAGACTAGTCATCATATTTAAGTATCAATAAAATAAAAATTGATTATTTAAATCATGTTGTTAATAAATTGTGAACCCATTTTTAACCGACATCAAAAAAGGAGGAGGTTCCCGATTCGTAGAAATCTTTTTTTTTGTATGTATGTTCACTGATTTCTCGAAGACGATTGACATTACTCGAAGAACCTTGCTATCTTATTAGAGCAGTGTGTTTAGGTGATCCATTCATATTATTCATAAATAACATGCAACTACTTGCCACTGAAAACTTAAAAATATTTTTTTAACCAACATCAAAAAAGGAGGTTCTTTCCCGGTGTCTACCTTTCGTCAGAAATGAGATTTTTCTGCTAATGCTCGTTCATCGTACGGTTTACTGAACAGTTTATAGGGTTCTAACCAGATAGAGCTATTCCTTCTAAAGTTTTGTTCTGCTGAGAGTACTACGCTACGTATACTTGTCCCATCGCCAAGTTCTTTTTTTTCTAAGTCTATGATAGCTCTATCACGGGTTGTACTCTGTAGTTTATGCACAGGTACAGCCCAGCATAAAATAAGAGGTAACATAAGACGTTCAACGTCACCATAGTCTCTAGTTGCTTGGAATGTAGCACACTTTCCATCAGGTGACCAGGTTGCTCATTTGCCCCTTCTTCTATAAAAAGAATGGAATCGCAGCCATTAACATCTTTCAATCTGCATTCTATTGTATCGTTATTTCGTTTGATTCTTCGAACGTATAAAATTCAGAAAAAAACAAAAAGGAATTTAGACTTTAAGTAAAATAAATTTCGTGGATTTTAATAATAGACATTTTAATTCTTAAGTATTACGAAATTCTGACTTTTGAAAATCGGAACATTGAAATTCGGAATATAATATTTCGGAGTATTTGGGTGTTCCCAATCTTTATTTTAATTATTAAAGTCCTAACTTTTATAATTACTACTACTCGAAATACCAAGTTTCAATAGATCGAATAATGACAATTAACAAAAAAACTAAAATACCTACCCAATTGATTCACCAACAATATAGCAGCGTCTCGCTCGCTCGCCTTCGCGCTTTAATGGTCACAGTTCTAACCTAAATAAAGAATTAAATAACAGTAGAAAGTACCCGACGTTATATAAGGAGAAGAAAAACCGAGAACCAATCGAGCATTTCGGACCATTTTGAACCGAGAAGCAATCGAGCATTTGATTCTCCGAACGTATAAAATTGGCAAACAAACACATCGCATTTCCGACTTTCGGTAAAATACATTTCGTGAATTTTGATAATAGGCATTATAATTCTTAGCTATCATGAACTTACGGCGTAAAATATTTCGGAGTATTTAGGTGTTCCCATTACGTTTACTTTTATAAATAAGAGACAACCGATGTTCACGTTCTTCTATCGTTTCTTTTGACAATTTACTTTGTACATAATTGCGCATTTGAGAAAGCCTTTACCTTCTTCGAAAGACTCTTCGAGACGCTGTGCTCTATTTCTTTCTCTATTGCGCTTTACAGGCACTCATCTTTGTCATTTTCAGGCTCCTGTGCTTGACGCTTTCTCATACGAGATGCACCCCAGGAAGGTCTCCCCATCATGTACCACCTTTTTTTTTTTTTTAACGTGTGGAAATCCCCTCGTACCGTCACCCCGCCGGGGCTCTCAGTTCGGCGGGGCGGTGTGTCGGACTCGAACCGACTAAAACCACACGGTGTGCCCTCTTTGCGCTTCCAGTTTAGGAGGGGTCCAGGTAGTTATCGCCTTCTGGACCCCTCCCAGCGCCGGCCCGCTCCAGTTGCGGGCTCCGTCTCAAAATTACTCCTCTGTTTAGGCGACGTCCGGCACACGCGGACGCCGCCCCCTCGCGGCTGGCCAAACTAATGCGGGTGGAGGGGAGAACCCATCCCGTCCACCCGCGGCCACACTCAGGGCGGCATGAGGGGCAGGTGAGCGCTACCGGCCATGGAGCGAACTACGGCCGGTAGCGAGAGATCCGCTCCGATGACTGCAGTGAGGGCCCGGCGCTGCGTTGCCCATGCGGGGCAGACCGCCAGCGTGTGCTGGGCCGAGTCCTCACTGCAGTCGCAATGGTGGCAGGCGGGACTCGATTCCCTCCTAGCGACCGAGTACAGGTACTTTCCGAAGCAACCGTGCCCTTCCGGGCACCTGCGTCAGCCGATTATATACCACCTACACTAACCTACGCACCTATTTTATAAAACTTCCCTAAAAAGCAAAAAAATAGATTATTTTTCGCGACTCGTCGCCACGTTGCATTACATTTTAGGCATATATTATACCATTACATAACGTGGCGACTCGTCGCTACGCCAACAGCCGGTCCGACCGTCCGCATTAGATGTCCGCATCAACATACATGCCATCATTCACGAGCGGGATCACTACATTTTATCAGTCCACTGGAAAGCTTATTTCTGTCAACTTTAAAATAAAGATTTCACGATGTACATTACTTTACATTGTGTCACGCTCAATCTAACATGTTTTGTTAAAATATCCTAAAGGTGATTTAGATTTTTATTTTAAAACATTAAAATTCCAATTTAATAAAATTGGAATGTGGTCGGACAAATGTTGTATAAACTGAACAGCTGACTTCTGAGTCTTACGTCTTTTGTTATGCACACAAATTTCAATACAGCATACAATTACATCAATACCTTTTTGTTAGCAAAAACCAAAAACTTGCACATAAAGTACCGAAAAACTTAAACCAGCACAGTTTCAAAATTCTTTCTTAGCGCACGCTTCCTGTCTATAAACTACACTTAAATTTTTTGGCTCCTGGTACAAAAAATCTGGCCTTTTATATAAACTAATGCTAGACCAGGCCTGAGTACCTGGTAAGTTCCAACGTAACTACTAGAACCCAATGGCCGACCATTGTCATGAAAGCTTTTCTTGTCTTTCCTGTCTTTAAAAAATAATATGCCAAGACGAAGAGTCACGATGACACTTGGTGGAAACCATGGACTTGATCTAAAGCGAGCTAGGTCATTTTGCGAGGTGGTCAGTAGTGGGTTCGTCAACATAAACAGACCTGGGACGGTAGCGTCCCATTTATGCTCCCATGCGTGCTTCTACACTCTATTTAACGCTTCAACTTGCTGATAGACAGGCGCAGTCTATAAGATTCAGTGATAACAAAATTAATTCCTGGACAGCATATAGCTGAAGTAAGCATGACATAAACTAAGAATAGTATTAGTACCGCGACATTGTAGAAATGATACCCAGGAAAAAGTGTAAGAATTTTCTTTTTGGCTGAAAAAACCAAGGAAGAACAAATTGCCGCATTTTGACCTTGAAATACTTTTTATAGTTCATTCGTGATAATATTTCCAATATTAGCACTAATTTTAAGCTCTCTGTTGTAAATTATTGAATGTATGAATGTCTCTTTAGACAAGAGTATTCGAAGAACTCGTGCTATTAAAAATTATTGATTTAAATGGTAGTATTTTACCAAAAACGATAAAGTACGTGTTGTATTATTTTTAATGGTTAAAATTTACATATGAACATTAATTTGCTTTATTGTTTATTATTACTCATATGCTAATTTTCAAGTTTTATTACATTATTTCTCGTTGAAAAACAGCGATCGGTTGATGTATTGACACATAAGTTAATTTAATTAATTATTCTACTTGTTTTTTATTTATTACAGTTTTATTTAAATTAAATTAGATAAACGTGATCGTTTGCTTTTAAATAGATTTGCATTCCAAAAGCGCAATTCAGGCTCAAAACATAGTTTCTGTAAGACCCATCATTGAAGATAAACTTGATATATGACCCTGCATCCTCTCTTACTTTCGGCTATGCTGATTTACAGTTGCTATGCGCATGACCCTGGAACCAAAGTTTTATGTACTAGAACTGCGGGTGCTACAGCGATGATACTACACCCTGGTATAGTGCAGAGAGTAGATGTAGTAGCACTGGTCTCTTGATATACTTATGGCAATTTGTATGGTGTTAGACAGCATGAATATCCATTGCCTCGTACTGTAAGGACGAGATACGAGTATATGCCAAAGAGGTGACAAAAAGGGAACAAAAGAGAACTATTTCTTTCTAGACAGAAGTCGCACTACGGGCGGAGATTACAAAATTATTTGAACATGTTCCATGCATGTATGTTCTTTATATCATGCGGGGGACATGATCCCAGTACTGCATTAAACGGTAGAATCACCTGAGCAGACAGGCAACCAGATTGTAAGTGATTAACACCGCTCATGGACACAGAAGTCACAAGTGGGTTGCCTCTCTTTCAGTTCAGTCAGTGCCCAAACTTTCCCCCTCCGCCAAGAATTAGGGGACGAGGAGGTTTTGGGCTTCAGTAACTTTACTCACTCGGTGAAAGGTTGTGAAAGAACTGTTTAAACCCGTTTTTCTGTGAGGTTGTGGTATCAGTCCGGTACATGCAATCAAAGCGACCCATTTGTGTCGAAGCATGACCTTTCCACGGTAGAGTGTTCCAGTTTAACATACCATATTGCAATTCATGGCAGATGATGAATAGATCAGTTTTTATATGCCAAAAGAGAAGCGCTCTTGTTCTTTTGCTATCTATAAATCAATATATTATATCTATATTGCTTTAGAGTATGTGTTTAAGAGAATAAATATTTTCTTTGTCTTTCTCTATTCAAAGATAATTATGATTGATTACATACACTTTACTAATCAATAGGATGTTTTGCCTGTCTGTAGAATTTTCTGACTAAGTAACCCTGGCTGCTAAGGTCGTGAATTAATTCCCACCAAAGACAAATAATAGAAAATAAAAAAAATACCAATAAATAGTAAGAACGATAATTGGTTGTGTCTGGGTGTAATATATGTATGTCCCGGAGGGGTGAACTTCCAGGAGGCGGCACGCCTGGCCACCAGGGGAGTCTCTCTGGTGGTCGGGGGCATTGAGGCGCTGGGCTTAGAGGTAGCCCTGGTTAAGATGGACGCCCGGTAGTTATAGTTGTTTTACCACCGAC